AGGAAGGACCCCGGTCTTCTAGCCGGGGGGGGGGGATCAGCATAACTTCCACAAGCTCTTTTGGGGCGCCTCTTCAGCCCCTCCCCCGACCATTTGATGCCCCTGCCTTGCCCCCCCCCCTGAAGGCAGTCCTGTGTGTTCCCTGCCTGCTGATGACCCCCGACCCCACCAGCGGACAGTGATGCTCCCGGGTGTAAGGGGCAGAGGGGTGGCTGTGTCTCGGGTGCCCCGTGCGGAGCAGCAGGGAAGTGTGTGCAGAAGCAAGAGGTGGGGGAGCCAGGAGGTGCCCGGTGGGTGGCCCTGGGCTGGTCACACCGGACGTGGAAACAAGGCTGGAGGCGGAGGTGGGCGTGGGAAGTCCCTGGCAGGGCCCGAGAACCCGATGCCACCTTCGACCTGCCGTCCAGGCAAGCAACCAAGGAAGGCTTCCTGACGGTTAAGAGCGGCTCCTCGGTTAAAAGCGGGTCCTTGGTGGAACAGGCTTCCCCGGGAGGAGGAGGAGGAGGTGGGCTCTCCTTCTTTGGAGGAGGTTTTGAAACAGAGGCCGGATGGCCCCATCTGACAGCCATGCAGATTCTGTGGACTCGGGCAGATCCCGAGAAGGGAGGGCGGGGAGGGTTGCAGCCTCAGTGCTGAGTTCTGGCGTCCTTTCTGACATGATCGCCACTTTGGTGGTCAGGAAGTAAGTTTTCTCCAGGCCAGTTTGGCCGGAGATCGTGGAGGGGTTTTTTGCCGCCTACTGGGCATGGAGGGGGGGGGAGGCGGACAGGACGGGACTTGTGGATGGTCCTGCATTCTGCAGAGGGTTGATGACCCTTGGGGGGGGGTGCCTTTCAGCTCCTGGAAGCTGCAGAATGGCAGTGGAGGGAATGACCGAAGGGGGGGGAGAGCTCCCCCCTCTAGCCGTGGCCCTCTCCGAGGCCGGTCTTCTGGGGCACAACCAACCCCCCTCCCCCCCAGTCTCCTGCCAGGCCGTTCCCTTGGTGCTGAATGGGGGGGGGGATGCGCCAGACCCGGAGGACGAGCGGCCCCAAAGAACAGTCCCAGTCGCGGCAGGTAGAGACAATAACCTTTGATTTTTATTTCCATTATTAGCACAACAACTGTCTTTTTACACTTTGAAGAGAAACTGGGGCAGGAAAGAATAAGCAAAGCACGAGTCAGTTGGAATTTCTCACCACTTAAAAAATCCCTCTAGCGACAACCACCAGTTTTTGCTAAAGAAATATTTCCAAAACCTAGGATGAACTCTGCAACTGGGAATGGGACAGGGCTACCGGAGGAGGCGCCCCCCCCCCAGGATGTTTCCCCACGGGCTGGGGGGGGCGGCCTCTTGGCTTCTCCAGAGTGCAGCTTTTTTGGGGGGGAAGCCCCAGCCCAGCCCTGTGTTGGGTGTGTCTCCAGAGGCAGAAGTGGGCGTGGTTGGGATGGGCACCTGCAGTGGAGACCCTGCTGCTCCTGGTAGCTGCGTGAAACCCCCCCCCCCCCCACTGGGAGGTGCAGGGCTGGGGGACCGAAGGCCAAGTCCCGGGGGGGGTTCTTCAGTTTCTACCCCCCCATGCCTCCGCCCTCTTCCTCGTCGCCCCACACCTCCCCGTGTCCGTGGCAGGGAGGCGCTGGACCTCGCCCTACCCTCAGGGCACCGGAGCGGGGCAGTTTTCTGTCTTTCAAAATATTTCTTTAAGCAAGACTGTGCTGTATTGGGGGGTGGGGGGGGACATTCCCCCCCACACACACCCTGTCCTCTTTTGCTTTTTAAAAAATTTATTTTGGTCCACTTGACAAAAAAAAAAAGAGAATAAGTTAACACTAAACCAACAGTAAGGAAAACGCTCAATGTTATATTTAATATACACATGTTTTTAAAATATATATCTGTACACACAGTTAGCACGGTCTGAGCATCAGGGGCGGGGGGGAGGGGCAGGGCGGCAGGCTCGGG